GCTGTTCAAGGTTCAATTCATAGGGGCTGAGCCTCTCTGCTGCCATAGAACCTGAATTACATTCTGGAGTGACTGTCTCTCTCTGATGCGTCCCATGTAACTCAGAACACCCTACAGGCCTTGGGCTTTTTGTTACTGTGTTAGTGAGACTATGAGCAAACACTGACTGATGTTTGTCTCTCCAACCTTGCCCAGAAATCAGCTTTTTTTTTTCTTCCTCGTTAGAAGTGAAAACAAGGACCACTGAAATAGTACTTTACAATGAGTAAAGTTGGTTGCCTCCAAACCTGATTCCACCCCTGACACCCTCATGGTTAATGGAGAGAACCAATGCCTAGGAGTTGTTCTCTTTGTGTGTGTCCCTGCTACACAAAACAGTGTTAATAATTAACAGGAAGGAAGTCAAACATCGTGGCTAATGATATTTTTCTGTCAGCTTAGCAGCTGCACATGAATCTGCCTACACTTTAATTACTGTCTGCAGCCCCATGGCCTCACAGTCAGCACCCCACCGACCACTCAGGCTGTGGCGTGGAGGGACTTCCGGTCCTGCTGGCACTGGCTCAGCCGTGGTGAGATGTGTAGGTTTAAACCATGTCTCTGTTGTTCTATTTACCAACAAAGACTTGGAATCAGATGTAGGGGTGAAAACGTGCTAGATCAGAGAAGCAACCAGCTGACCTTGCTTTTTGGCTGGAGACCCAGCAAGAGATGCATTTCTTCAGTAGTGCCAAACCTAAAAGAAGCTACTCCTTCCCATGTGTCTCTTTATCCATATTCCTGGCTCCACCGGACTCTCTATGGCTAATCAATTAGTCAACTAGTTGCTGGCTCCACTCCCTGAACCAAGGTTGATTTTATTTAACGCAAATGCAAACTCAGGGTTCAGAGTGTGACTGAGTATCCTGCAACAGGCTATAATGCCTGTAATTTCAATACTTACTTGAGAGGCCAACACAGGAGGATTGACATGAGTTTGAGGCCAACATGGACCGTGAAGTGGTTCCAAGTCAGCTTCGAGTGTAATTGAAAAAAACAAGTAAACAGCCAGGTGGTGGTGGTGCATGCCTTAAATCCCTGCACTTGAATCTCCGAGTGAGTTCCAGGACAACCAAGGCTACACAGAGAAACCCTGTCTCGAAAACAAACAAACAACAACAACAACAAAAATCAAACAAACAAAAAGTTTAAAAAATTAACACAAACTAGTTGGTTGTGTGCAGTGCATGCACAGGGTATACAGGGATTTGTGCATGTAGGTGGTGGCCAGAACAGGACAAGATGTCTTCCTCTGTGGCTCTCTGTCTTATTTCCTTAAGACAGGGTCCCTGACTGAAGCAGAAGGTCACCATTTGAGCAAGTTGACCGGCTTGTTATTGTATTCCTCAATGCTGGGAATACAAGCATGTGTGCTCATGCCTGGCTTTTTACATGCATGCTGGAGATTCTAACTCAGGTCATCCTTTGGGCAGAGCAAGTATTCTTACAAACCTGGCCATCTCCTGGCCCCCTAATTGTTTTTTTTTTAATACAAAACTTCTAGTTTGTAAAAATAATTTAGAAATACTTAATACATATGACGCAGGCCACATTTAAATACAACTCATGAATGAGACTTCAACCCTACACAAACAACTAAGGTACGCCGAGAGTGAGAGAAATAGTCTTCCCCAGGGAAGAGCACACCAACTGATTCTTCAAAACCAAATGGTCAGCTAGCTCTGAAAACATACATACAAGTAATACTATACAGATATACTTAGGAGATTTTACTTATGTATTTAGGAACACACGCCCACACAAACACACACATATGGGTGTTTTCCTAAATACATATACATAATACCTATATGTATATATGCCTATAACAACAATTAATGATAAACGAGGCCATGGTTTTCAAAGAGAGCAAGGAGGGTTATATGGGAGGGTTTGAAGGGGAGAGGAAAGGGAAGAGAAAATACCTTTAAAAAAAATGAGCTGGGCGGTGGTGGCGCACGCCTGTAATCCCAGCACTTGGGAGGCAGAGGCAGGCAGATCTCTGTGAGTTTGAGGCCAGCCTGGGCTACAGAGCTAGTCCAGGACAGGCTCCAAAGCAACAGAGAAACCCTGTCTTGAAAAAACCAAAATAAATAAATAAATAAATAAAAATAAAACTTGAAACAAGCAAAAAATATATTGTCTGGAAGGATGTAGCAAAAGATGACCATGGGCCCCCAGGTTCTAGAATTACAGGTGTGCCATCATACTTTGTTTATGTTGTGTTAGGCCCTGAACCTAGGGTTTCATATACGAATAAATATTTATGCATGTGTGGTGTTTGAAAGAAAATGACCCCCATAGGGAGTGGCACTATTAGGAGGTGTGGCTTTGTTGGAGTAGGTGTGGCCTTGTTGGAGGTGTGTCACTATGGGGGTGGGCTTTGAGGTCTCCTATCCTCAAGATCTGCCCAGTGTGGACAGACTCCTTCTGCTGCCTTTGGATCAAGATGTAAGACTCTCAGCTCCTTCTCCAGCACCACATCTGCCGGTACATCACCATTCCCCACTACAATAATGGGCTAAACCTCTGATCTGTAAGCAGCATCCTCAATTAAATGTTTCCCTTTGTAAGAGTTGTTGTGGTCATAATATCTCTTCACAGCAATAGAAACCCTAAGACAGCATGTATATATGTTGTTTTTTTGAAGACAGGGTCTCACTATGTAGCCTGGCTGTCCTGGAACTCAACTCTGTAGACCAGGATGTCTTGAATTCACAGAGATCTGCCTGTTTCTGCCTTCTGAGTGCTGGGATTAAAGGTGTGAACCACTATGTCTGGAGTATATATATAATTTAATACAGAGATTTACAACTCAGGCTGACCTGGAACATACTATGTATTCCAGGTGGCTTTGAACTTATGCAATCCTGTCTTAGTCTTTTAAAAGCTGGGTTTATAAACATGCATGACTATGTCCAATTATTTATTTATTTTTGTTCTTTTTGCAGTATTAGGGATTGAACCTAGGTCTTGTATATGCTGAGCATGTACTCTACCACTGAATTGCATCCTCGGTTATTAAAAAAATTAAAAGCTGGCTGGTGAGGTGGCTTAGTGGATAGAGAGGACTGTTGTCAACTCCTGACAACCTGAGTTTAATTCCTGGGACTCACATGGTAGAAAAAGAAAACCAACTCCTACCAGTTGTCCTCTGACTTCCATAGCAGCACACACCCACTGTAATATATCATTTAAAAACAGAAAGCATTTCAAACACAATCTCATGGAGCAGGCTGGCCTAGAACTCATGTGCACGAAGATGACTGAACTCCTGAGCCTCCTTCTTCCATCTCCCAAGTGTTGTGATTACGGGCTAAATTTTTTTGAGACAGGGTCTGGTCATGAATTTTGTCTGTAGCCAGGTAGATCTTGAACTTTCAATCTTCCTGCCTCAACCTCCAGAGTAGTTGGAACTTAAGTCTGCACACCCAGGCCTGGTTTAATAGGTAAATTATGTAAACTTAAAATGTGTTGCCTGGCCAGGTGTGGTAGCACATGACACCATATCAATTAAAGTGTGTGAAGAGGACGAATGAGGTCCTGGGTTGATTTCCCAGCACTAGAAAAAAGAACCTCTCCACATATACTACACTTAAGGTGTTTCATAAGATTTTATTATAGCTGTAGCCTATAACTTAGTCATCACTGCTAAGATTAAAGATTTCTTCATCAATCACTGTAGCTTTAGCGTTTGTTCCAGGAAATCTTTCCCTACCAGAGACTATAAATCAGTACAGATCTTCACGGTGAACTTAGGAACTTCCTGAAAACTCATTTATCTGAAGGATCAGTTGCTCACAAAAACAGCTTCCTTTTCCAATAGTGAGAGACTGAACTCAATTGGCCAAATCCCCAAATCCCTGTTCTCATCAAAACAAACAGAGCTGGGGATACACAGGCCTGGATTCAATTTGCAACAACCCAAAAGGGAGTAGGAAATCTGACTTCTATCTCTTTCCTTTATTGCTCAAAAACTGATACCATGAACTATGTAACGACCAGAGCTCCATCTTGAAAATGTCACTCAAACCACTCCAACTTAAGAATCTATAAAAATCACCTTTAACTTTTTTTTGGAAGTACTGATGAGAACACGTCAGACTACTGTTACACTTGCCTACATTAAGAACTACATGGCTTAGTGCAAAGGTTACCACTGTAGTCTTTTTGTGGCAATTATAGTGATGGGAGTTCACAGCCAACAAATTTGGTAAATGCTGGTTGTCTATGCTGAGAACTCAAACTCCTGTGTGTGTGCACGTGGGGGTCAGAGGACAACTTTGAGTTGTTTCTCTCCCTTCCACTGTGGGTTCTGGATTGAACTCAGGTATTACCCATTGAGCTAGCTTGCCGGGCTGGAAACATGTACTGTATAGTCCAAAGTAAGGCATAATGGTGTCACCAATATATTAAATTGGTAACACAGGAAGTTAAGAAGGAGAAAACAAAAAGAAGGAATGCATAGCAGAATGAAGCTGGTAAGAACTGAAGGAATTCCTTGTGTCTTCCTGTGGAATCAACGCAGGCAGCTGTGGGAGCATATGAATGAGCCAGCAGTTGTTATACTTCAAATGACCTCCTTTTCCTTACTGACTTGAGGCTGTGCTCTCATAGTCTGAGCTTTTTGAGGGTAAAATTTCTTGTTGTTATTATTTATTTATTTTGACACAGGATCTCACTGTGTACAGGCTGGCCTGGAACCAGTCACAATCCTCCTGCCTCAGCCTCCTTGCGATGAGATTATAGCCACAAACTACCATACTCAGCAATAAAATTCATTGCCTATTTACAAAGCAATCTTCAGTGGGCCTAGATCCAATTTGCCTTTGTACATTTCTTTTTTCAAGAATTTTTTCCTTTTATTGAAACTTTTTTTTTCCTCTCACATAATATATCCAGTTTCCCCTCCCTCTATTCCTCCCCACCTCTCATCCCATCCGGATCCACCCCTTTCTGTCTCTCAATAGAAGACAGGCTTCTAAGGGATAACAAAAATAAAACAGACACATTGGAACAGGACAAAGAAACAGAAGGAAAAGAGCCCAAGAGAAGGCACAAGAAACAGAGACCCATGTTTGCACACTTGGGAAGTCCATAAAAACAGTGAACTGGAAGCCATAATATATACACAAAGGACTTGTAGTATAAGAAGAGATAAGAAAAAATAAATAAAATAAAATAAGAAAAAAGCCCCGACACATTAGACAAAGAACCTCCAAAGATGCCGTTGAGTTTTCTTTCTTTTTTTCCTACCGCTGGCCATGCAGGCTACCCTGGAGAGTAGTTTGTTTTCCCAGTGAGACTCCCTTGGAGAAAACTAAATTTTCATTTGCAAGTGGTTATCAATTGGAGATTGTTTCTGGGTTAGGGATGGAGACCTGTCCACTTCTTTCAGCTCTAGGACCCCATCTGGTGCAGACCTGTGCAGGTCCTGTGCATGCTGCCTTAGTGTCTGAATTCATATGTGCACTGATCTTGTTGATTTAGAAAACCTTGTTTTCTTGGTGTTCTCCATCCCCTGGCTCTTACACTTTTTCTGCCTCCTCTTCTTTGGGCTCCGCTGATCCCTGAGGGGAGGGATTTGATGGAGACATCCCATTTAGGGGTCAGTGTTCCAAGGTCTTACTCTCCTTTGTACACTTTTTTCTTTTTTGAGACAGTGTTCTCTCTGTAGCTCTGGCTGCCTTGCAACCGCTTTGTAGACCAGGCTGACCTTGAACTTGCAGAGATTCACGTGCCTCTGCCTCCCAAGTGCTGGGATTAAAAGCGTGTGCTACCATGCCTAGCTCCCTCCGTATACTTTCATTCAAACTTTAAACCTTAGCAATATTTTAGCCACCAGAGCACCTTTGCATTGTTTCCTAAACTTGAAATCTCGTGTTTTCTTTTTGAATCCTGTCTTCCCAAATTTATTCATTCCATTCTTGTTTGGACAACGCCTCAACATGTCTGCCTATTTGGCCTAGAACAATGTAGACCAAGTTGACCTCAGACTCAAGAGAGAGCTGCCTGCCACTGCCTCCCTAGTGCGGGGATTAGAGGCATACCCAGTTCAAATTCCTAACCTCCACAAGTTAGGCATTACTTCCTCCGGAAACACTTTGCCACCAAGCTGAATGTGGTTCTGTAGCATTGTACACACACGTGTTCCCGTCATGGCACCAGACATCACATACGGGGCATCTATCCCAGAGCTGAGTTTGTCCAGGACAGATTCAGTAACTTCCACACACTTCCATCTCTGAGCTCCAGAGAACCAGGCAAATGGTGGGGCATAATACATGTTGTTACTTGAGCTACACGGAAGAGCGACTGCAAGCTCTGAGATGTGCAAAGCTGGGTATCTTCTCGGTGGGGGGAGCCCTTCCACACCTGAGCTGCCGAGTTGCCATGGAGTGACAATGAAGTCACAGAACCGTGAGGCCCAGGTGAAGTCACAACAGTGACACACGCGTGGGCACACTGACGGGGAGCAGGTCTAGGGTATCCGACGCGGGTGTGGGGCGGGGGCAGGCACTCGGCAGCGGGCCCGCGGGACCTGGGAGGGTGAGAAAATGCTTACTAACTAGTAAGCGGGGGACCAAACGCGAGTCACGCCGAGGCCACGAGGCCCCGCAGCGCCAACGGCTCCTTCCCGCCATCTCACTCTTCTAGCGCCATCTTCTAGACCCCGCCCCGGGCAATCCACAGCCATCCCGACCATCACCGCAGGACGGGCGCCTCCTCGGACCTCCCCCGCCGAAGGCGATGACCCGCCCCTTCTGAGGCCAGGACGATGGGGCTGACACCGGAGGGGGCTGAGCTCGCCGCGCCCACGCCGCAGCCTTAGGACCTAAGATCCTGTCCCCCATCGCTCACGGCCCGAGGACCTCGCGCCAGCCTCACCGGAAGGCACGGCCGGAAGGGGCGGGCACTGCGCCCGGCGGGTCCTTGGCGCCATGGCGTCTCGTGGCGTCGTGGGCATTTTCTTGCTCTCCGCTCTCCCTCTGTTGTGTCTGGAGCTCCGGCGCGGGATTCCGAGTCTCGGTAAGTGTTGTCTGCCGTCCTCGGTGCCTCCCGTCCTGGGGTCTTTTCACCTGAGTGGTGGGTGCAGTGCCTTTCTGGCCATGGCGCCTCCGCGCGGCTTTGACTACAATTCCCAGAGTCCATCGCGCCCGCCCAGCTTCCGGCGCCACCTCCGTTTCGCGGGAAAAGTTCGCTGGGACTCTGGCCAAGGTCTACTTGGGAGTGAGAAGCGCGGGGACAGAGACAAGCTGTTGTAGGGAAGGGGCAGGATTGACAAGCGCGGCGACAGAGACGAACTGTTGTACTTGAAAGGCGTGATGAGAGACGGACACAAATAAGCCGATAGCCTGGGGGCCTCCCGAGCATTGAGACTGAGCCTTGAACTCGAGGAGCCATCCCCTGGAAGGCCTTGATGACAGCAAGATCAAGGAATGGTAGAAAGGGAGTCCCCAAATACATTTATTGAATCCTTATTCTAAGTCAGACACTGTTTGCATTCTCCATCTCCACTGCTGCCGGAAGGACTTGTAGGTACTGTTAGCGTAAAACAAACAAAAAAACCCAACAAAAACAAAAAACAGATCTCACCCCAGAGAGGGTAAGAGTTCGTTTTGGAGTCAAATACGAATGTCCGTGGTCTGGGAACACAGATTTAGGGTACCTCAAATTCTGTGCTCCACGGTTCCATAAAGTTTGTTTGCAGTAACAAAATAACGTCATAAAACACTTGAACTCTGTGTTGGTACATCAGGGAAGATGGGTTATTGCAACGTGTAGGGAAACCTCCCAGAGGCCTCAGGTGCTGACCACATGGCCGCCCGGCTTTTGCATTGGTGGAAGCTAGTGGTTTCCCTGTGTGAGTTACAGGACGTTAGGTCAGGCATAGAGGTGGGCAGTGAGTGTCTATTTAGGGGGCTGAAGATAGCCTAAGAAAATTTGTGGTTAGCTTCTGGACCTGCAACTTTCCAACCACTCTGCAGTCTTAAGAAGTTGTCAGCTAATCAAGAATGTGCAATTAAAGGGGAGCTGCTTTGGGGAAACTTGAGTTCACGGTACTGTTAAAGTCCTTCCTCTACCTTTGAGGGTGTTGTCATCTGCTGAGGAGAAGTGGCTTCTTAGAGGTGGTTTTGTTGTCATTTGTGTGTGACAGTGTCTTAAACCAGCTTAGGTTGACCTGCAGCTTGAAGCAAGCCTCTCGACCCAAGCCCCCGGGTACGGGGATGACCCCTGCCAGACACCATGCTGGGCTTACCCAGAGTTTGGTAAAGGGTCTTTCTGGATTCTGTGTGGAGAATGTTTTGGAAGGAACCTATAGTGGAAAACAGTGAGACAAGTTAGGGTTTTCTGTATATAAAACAGTTATGTTTACTGGGCGGTGGTGGTGCACGCCTTTAATCCCTGCACTCGGGAAGCAGAGGCAGGCGGAACTCTGTGAGTTCGAGGCCAGCCTAGGCTACAGAGTGAGTTCCGGGATAGGCTCCAAAAACTGCACAGAGAAACCCTGTCTGGAAAAAACAAAAACAAAAACAAAAAACAAAACAACAATAAAAAAATAGTTATGGTCTATAGAGCGAGTTTCAGGACAGCCAGGACTGTTACACAGAAACCCTGTCGTGAAAAACCAAAAAAAAAAGAAAGAAAGAAACCAAAGGGGGGGAAAAGCCTTTTTTTTTTAAATTTTGTGTGTATGTTGATGTGGGTACCAGCATGGGTTCATGGAGGTCAGAGGACAACTTGTTTTTTTTTTTTAAATAATTGATTTATTTTATGTGCATTGGCATTTTGCCTAGACGTATGTCTGTGTGAGGGTGTCCGATCCCCTGGAACTGGAGTTACAGACAGTTGTGAGCTGCCATGTGGGTGCTACCAGGGTCCTCTGGAGGAGCAGTCAGTGTTCTTAACCACTGAGCCATCTCTCCAGCCCCAGAGGGCCACTTTTGGAAGTCAGGTTTCTCCTTCAACCTCTAGGTGGGTTCTGAGGAATCAAAAGTAATTCAGATTGTCAGGCTTGGAAACCAAGCACTTTTATCCAGAGTCCTCTTGCTGGCCCAACACGACTTTTATTTCAACAACAGCAGCAAGAATTCACACTCATCATTGCAAAGGTCGCCCGCTCTTGGCCTTACTCTGCTAATGTAGAATCTCTCACTTGGTGCTCATATTTGAGTATCCAGTCAGTGAGAAGGTCATCATTTAGGATTGTGAGAGAGCTGCTTCCCTTCAGCGCTGACCTCAGGGCACTTGAGGGTAGAGACCACATCAGATTTGTGTTTCTGTTCCTAGACCTTATCACAGCGTTTATGAAAACTAAGCCAAGTGTTGGAGAAAATGCACCTGGCCTGCTGGCGGCAGCTCGTGCTTTGGGACGTTTCACTCTGGACTCCTTTGCTGTGCAGTGGCAGTGGTTTCCTTTTGCACCCCCTCCCCGCTGGGGGTCTTGATAATCTGGTAACAGTATTTAAGTCTGTGTTAGCAATCCCATCTCCCAGTGCACCAGCTGCGACGCTAATCAGGTTACCCGAGGAGCACACCTAATGGCTAGTGATGTCCTAAACTATGTAATTCCTTCTTTAGTCTTCAGTTGGGGCTGGAGGGGTGGCTCAGTGGTTCAGAGCGCTGGCTGCTCTTCCAGAGGACCCGGGTTCAATTCCCAGCAGCCCTATGGCATCTCGCAACTGTCTGTAACTCCAGTTCCAGGGGACCCGACACCGTTACAGACACACATGTAGGCAAAAGACCAGTGCACACAGAATAAAAATAAATTAATCATTAAAAAAACAAAACAAAAAAAATAACCTTCAGTTAAAGGACCACTCGGACCCAGACCTTATCATATGAGTAAGATGGTTCTTCTGTGCCTGCCAAGCTTTAAAAATAAAAAATAAAACCATTCTGGAATGAGGGTTCAGGGCCAAACAAAACAAAACAAAGGAACAACAACCTCCTAAAAACTCAGGATAAATTTTGATCCTACTGTGTATCTCTTCCCTCAGCATTTAACAGATTGTGTGATACAGACTGATGCTCTTACTTTGTTTTGTTTGTTTGGCTTCCCCTCCACCCCCCAGACAGGGTTTCTCTGTGTAGTGTTGGTGCCTGTTCTGGAGCTCACTCTAGCCCAGGCTGGCCTCGAACTCACAGAGATCCACCTGCCTCTGCCTTCCGAGTGCTGGGATTAAAGGCGTGTGCTACCACACTTGGCTGGTGCTCTTAACATTTTGACAATTGGATCTTTGCCTGGGCTCTCAAAACAGTGTAAGAAGTACTGAATTATTACCTTCCCCAGAGTAAACGTGTGAGTAGTAATTTTATGTGTAAATGAGGAAACGCTGGGAACTAGAGAAACACACAATGGCCCAATTCAATCCTGAGAAAGAATGTGGCGTTTCAGGAGTGTATAGCTCAGTAGAGAGAAGTATTCTTAGAAGGCTGGTGGCTGAGGCCCAGTACCACATAAGTAAATAAGCAAATAGACACTTTGGGCTGGCAGGATGGCTCCATTAGTAATGGTGTTTACTGCCAAGCTTGATGACCAGAGTTGGAGTCCTGGAACCCACGTGGAGGAGAGGAGAGCTGAGTCTTGCAAGTTGTCCTCTGACCTCATGTGCATGGAGGGATGCACTCTGCCTCTACCCCGAGTGCCCCAAATAACAAATTCTTGGAAAAAAAATTAATGTCTTTTTTGGGAATGACTATTTAAAATAGAACTGGAATTTGACAAGATACTACTCTCAATCTTATTTATAAGGAAACCACATCTTAGGCATTATTAATACTCATAACATTTAATACAGCTGAACACTATGTCTTCCTAAAACAGGATGTTTCTTGTAGAATTAGTTTCTGTTTGTTGTGGTAGTGAAGGTCAGGTTGAGTTCTAGTGCCCCAGTAGACTTAGGAAAATAGTCAGGACGCTTGCATCATTTAGCATTCTTTCTAGAGCAAACAATCCCTCATTTCTTATTAGTAGCAAGGAGAGTGAGAATTTTTCTTCTAAAGAAAAATGTTTTCTTTCAATTTTTCTTTCTAAGGAATTAAAGATCTTGTTTTGTTGAGTGGCCGGATATTCCTGCTGCTTGCCCTGCTGACGTTAGTCATTTCTGTGGCCACCTCCTGGATTAACTCATTTAAGCCGCCTCCCCAAGTTCACCAGAAAGGTATGTTTATTGCCTGTGTTACCTTTACATTTTTTTATTCACTAAAAAAAAAAAAAAGTAACCTTTTCTATTCAAATTTTTTTCTTTTGTTTATTCAACAATGAGAACTGTTTGACCATTAATTTATTTTGTTTATTTTTTAAATTTTCTTTATTTTCTGTATATGAGTGCTCTATCTGCATGTACATCTTTATTCCAGAAGAGGGCATCAGATCCCACTATAGATGGTTGTAAGCCTCCACGTGGTTACTGGGAATTAAACTCAGAACCTCTAGAAGAGCAGTCAGTGCTTTCTTTCTTTCCTTCTTTCTTTTTTTTTTTTTTTGTTTTTTCAAGACAGGGTTTCTCTTGTGTAGCTTTGGTCCCTGTTCTGGAACTCACTCTGTAGACCAGGCTGGCCTCGAACTCACAGAGATCTGCCTGCCTCTGCTTCCCGAGTGCTGGGACTAAAGGCGTGCGCCACCACCACCACCGGGCCTCAGTCAGTGCTCTTAACCACTGAGCCATCTCACCAGCCCTTCACCATTAATTTATGATGTGTGATCTCAAGTGGGAGCCCTGTGGGTTCCAGGGGTGGAACTAAGGTCCTAAGGTTTGGCAGTAAGTGTCTTTACCCACTGAACTAGGCACACTGAATGCCATGGGATATGTGGGATAGAGAGATGGTTAAGACTGCTCTATTCCTAGCGTCCACATGGTGTCTCATAACTGTAACTCTAGTTCCTGGGGATCTGATACCCTTTTCTGGCCTCCATGGGCACTGCACGTATGTGGTACACAGACATACATGTAGAACACTAATACACAAAATTAAAAACAAAACCAAACAACAACAACAACAAAAACTATATTGCACTTGGCCTTATAACAGATTACTTTAAAACTAACAGCTGTTCTTAAATGTAATTAACAAAAGCTTCCCAGTAATGGATTTGTTTTTTATTTTTAAGATAGGGTGTTCTATAACCCAAGCTGGCTTGGTACATACTATATGTATAGCTGAGGATGACTTTGAATTTTTGATCCTCCTGCCTCCACCTCCTGACGGCTGAGATCACAAGCATGCACCAACAAGCCTGGGAGTATGTGGTGCCGGGGATCTAGCTCAGAGCCTTGTGTGTGCTTCACAAGCCTTGTGTGTGTGTGTCTACTAACCAGGTTACACCCTCAGCCTCTGTAGTTTTATTGCTTTTAAAATATAAATAAATATTACAAATAGTATAAATTTATAGCCTTTTCACATTAACCAGGCAAAAAACATAATTGCAAGAGATTATTCAACCCAATAATATATGACAACATGGATGCTTTGGGGATTCCCAATCATAGTTTGTATTTTCTCTGCTTTGATCTCTTATACTTCAGCTGACTCAATTTGGAAATTAAACAAGAACATTGTAATTTCCATTAGCAATTTTATGTGAGTTGTATTTTCAGAGCTTGTTGTGAACCTCAGTTGTAGAAGCATGAACAGTTTCAGTCCTTAGCACTCCAAAAAAAAAAATCAAATAAAAAAGTGAAAGTATGTTGCTTTCAGGAAGATGGTTTGCTGCTCACACTGCTTGGCAAGCCCCTGAGGTCTGCTGTTTATGAAATGTGCCCTTGATGGTTCCTGCCCTTGAAAACGGTTTGTTTGCATTATTTGAGTTGAGTCATGTGGCTCATTTATGGGTTGGCAGGTTATTGGCCTCCTCTTCACTGAAGGCTGATACTACCTAATATGTGATATTAAAACTGTGTTTAGCTGAGTGTGGTGATACATGCTGCTGCTAAGGCCGGAGGATTCCCAGTTCCAGGCCAGCCAGGGCTATGTAGAGAGACCCTGTCTGCAGAAAAGGGAATTTGCTATATAAAAATATATGTTAGTGAATTGTTTCAGAACAGAACTTTTATTACAGTTCACATGCAAATGTTTTCATTTTTACTGGTTGAATGAATGTACCTCATTTTCATTATTTGAAAAAATAGGTGGTGCATGTCTTTCAGGATGTTGAAATCTATAGACTATTCTTAGAGAAAAAGGATTTGATTCTTTGATACTTGAGAATAAGAAGGTCCTTTTGTGTTTTTGTGTCAGAAGGAGAAGAAGAGAATGAGAAAAGACAAAGACTGGCGAGGAAGAAGCAGCAGGAGGCCCAGGGGGAGCAGGTAAGGCTCAGCTGGCCTCAGGACTCCTGGGGCGCCGTCTCGCTGTGTCTGGGCTCAGAGGTCTTTGTGTGGACGGTTACTGATGTCTAACTCACATGGCGTAACATCATGCGCTCCCTCCTGTTTGAGACAAGGTCTCTTGTAGTGTAGGCTGACCTTGGATGCTAGTCTCCTGCCTCCGCTCCCTCCCTTCCTGCTGGGATTACCGTGCTCATTGATGTGTGTGTGACGTGTGTGCAGAGAGTTGGTTCTCTCCTTCCACTCTGTGGGCCCCAGGGTTTGAACTCGGTGGTGGTCAGGCATGGTGGCAGGGACCTTTACCCACTGACAGTTGTGTTTGCCATGACTACTGTTGAAGCCAATGCTGTCCCCAATCTCAGAGTCCCCCTGCCTCAGTTCAGCAGCCTGAGTGGTGAGATCAAAGGTGTGTGCCACCATGCCTAGAACATCCTTGTTTTACATGTGAATTTTTTTTTTTTTGTTATATCTGAGTCTTGGTCACTGTTCTCTTGCTGTGAAGAGACACTAACCAAGGCAACTCTTATAAAAGAAAGCATTTAATTGGGGGCTTGCTTACAGTTGCAGAGGCTTAGTCCATGATCATCATAGCAGGAGCATGGTGTCAGGCAAGTGTGGTGCTGGAGAAGAGGCTGAGAGTTTTCTATCTTGATCCTCGGGTAGCAGGCAGAGTGAGAGATGCTGGGCCTGGCATGGGCTTTTGATACCTCAAAGCCTACCCCCACTAACACACCACCTCCAGTGAGGCCACACCTCCTAGAGTGCCTAATATATTCAAATATGTGATTCTGTCTTAGGGTTACTGTTGTGAAGAGACACCATGACCACAGCAACTCTTATAAAGGAAATCTAACTGGGGCTGGATTACAGGTTCACAGGTTTAGTCCATTGTCCTCACGGTGGGAAAGCGTGGCAGCATGCAGGCAGACATAGTGCTGCAGAGGTAGCTGAGAGTTCTACATCCTAATCAGCAGGCAGCAGGAAGAGAGAGAGTGATACTGGGCCTGGCTGAGCTTCTGAATTGCTCAAAGCCCACCCCCAATGACACACTTCCTCCAACAAGGCCATACCTCCTAATAGTCCCACTCCCTAATGCCTGTCATTCAAATATATGAGCCTCTGGGGGCCATTCCTATTCAAACCACCACAGGGCCTGTGGAGTCATTCTTACTCAAATGACCACACCTTTCACACCTTGTTCTTGATTTGTAACTTCATAGACAATGGGAATGTGTAGAAACTCTAATGTATAGTAATAACACTTTTTCTCTTTTTTTTAAAATTTTATTTTATAATTTAATTTAATTTTACATATCAGCCACGGATTCCCTTGTTCTCCCTCCTCCCACGCCCCCCTATTCCTGCCCCCCTACCCCCACCTTCCCCCCAGCCCACCCCCCATTTCCATCTCCTCCATGGCAAAGACTCCCCTGAGGATTGAGTTCAACCTGGTAGATTCAGTCTAGGCAGGTCCAGTCCCCTCCTCCCAGGCTGAGCCAAGTTTCCCTGCATAAGCCCCAGGTTCCAAACAGCCAACTCATGCACTGAGGACAGGTCCTGGTCCCACTGCCTGGATGCCTCCCAAACAGATCAAGCTAATCAACTGTCTCACTTATCCAGAGGGCCTGATCCAGTTGGGGGCTCCTCAGCTATTGGTTCATAGTTCATGTGTTTCCATTTGTTTGACTATTTATGCCTGTGCTTTTTCCAAACACTTTTTCTCTTAAACAGGCCAGCAGATATATACAGAATGTTTTAAAACCTCAGCAGGAAATGAAATTGAAAAAACTAGAAGAACGCTTTTATCAAATGACGGGTGAAACCTGGAAATTAACTACTGGCCACAGACTTGAGGTTAGAAAAACACTGGTTTTATATTTTGAGTCATATTATATGTTTCCTGTTGGTGTGTGTGTGTGTGTGTGTGTGTGTGTGTGTGTGTGTGTGTGTGTGTGTGATGCTAGAGTTCAATGCCAGATGGCTGTCTTCCTCCTCCCCTCCACTTTACTTTGGAGATGCAGTCTCTCACTGAACCTGGAGCCCATTAGTTCAGCTATGCTGGCTGGACAGGTCGGGGCCCTGAACCGCCTGGGTCACCCCGGCACTGGGATTCTAGTCTGTATCACCCCACCTTTTTTGTACATGGGTGCTAGGGATCTACACTTGAGTCCTCAGGGGCAGCAAGTGCTTTCTCACTGAGACATCTCCCTAGTCCTGTGTTTCCTTTTAGATATATTGTCAAGCCCCATATTTGTGCTCATGTTTCCTTTTATGTATAGGTTTTGTGTGTGTGTGTTTGGTAGGGTTTTGAGTCGGGGTCTTACTCAGGCCAGCCTTGTACTCCTTTTGTCGCCTTCGCTGACTTCAGACTTAGCTCTTCTCCTGCCTTTGCCCCTTAACTGCTGGGATTCCAGGCATGCACCACAATGCTTGACTCTCCCATCAGTTCTTATTTAGTGCATTTGTGTGTGAAGTGGTTAAGTGATTTCTTTTTTCTTTATACCTGTGATAATGTATTGTTTGAGAAAACTATTGAATAACACTGTTCTGAGGAACTTCTGATCTTTGCTTAAGTAAAATATCCAATATCCAGAGTATTGAACTCACATTAAAAATGGATTTATTTTTATTTTATGTGCATGAGTATTTTGCTTGCATAAATGCATGTGTACTCAGAAGAGCGAGTCAGAGTCTCCGAAACTGGAGTCCATGGTTGTTAGCCTTCATGTGTGTGCTGGGAGCCAAACCTGTGCCGTCCGTAACAGCACCAAGTGCCCTCTTGGGCCGAGTCATCTCTCCAGCCCCAAACTCAGGTTGTGTTCCTCATGCTGGGTTCTGTGTTTGAAGTCACTGGCATTGATACTTTTTTTTTCATTTGGTAACGGGAGTTTACAGTTCAACTCTTTCTACAGAGAAAAGGTTTTACGGTTTAGAGTACTGGTGACATATTTTATGTGAAGGCCACTGTTTTGTGCGTTTTGTTTTGTGTTTCCTGCTTATGCTGCATCTTCCATGATCTTGTAAAGAAAAGGATGCAGGAAAGGTGACCAGGATGCTAGTGTACAGAGCCAGTTCTTTCTTGGTTCACGATGGCCAATATGCCCTCAAACAGTCAAGGGCAGGTAATAAGTAACACTGATACCAAAGCTGGCCAGTGGACCGTGCCACTGCACTGTGTGGTGATTTCCTGTGTATGTGGGTACATGTATGGCATGTGGACCCATGATGAGGCCAGAGGACATCAAATGGACTTTGTGTCACTTTCCACCTAACCTATTTTTCATTTTATTATTTTATTTGTATGGGTGCTTTGCCTGCCTGTATTCTGTATACTACATGCATAGCCTGTGCCCATAGAGGCCAGAAGAGGGCATTGTCTCCCCTGGAACTGGAGTTACAGATGGCTGTGAGCCACCAGGTGGGTGTGGAGAATTGAACTCCGGCCCTCTGGAAGAGCAGTCAGTGTTCTTAACGGCTGAGCCATCTCTCCAGCCTCCTTTACCTTCTCTTTGAGACACGGCCTCTCACTGAACCTGAAGCTCACTGTTTTAACTAGGTTGGCTGCCTACTGCGCTCCTGGGTTCTGCCCTGGGACAATAGAGTTGCAGGAGTGTCCTTCTATGCCCAGCTTTTTTGTGAGTGCTGGGGATTTGAACTTAGGTCTTTTTGGTGTTAAAACAAGCCTTCTTACCACTGAGCTGTCTTCTCAACCCCTGAGTTAGCACTCCTGAGGTTAGTTTGTCTTTTCTTCAGTGTTTTGGTTGGTAGACATTAGTAGGTTGATTTTACTTTCATTGGTTTTTGCTTTTGAGATGAGGTCTTTCCATGTTCCCTAGGTTGGTATCTTAGTTAAGGCTTTTATTGTTGTGAAGAGACACCATGACCATGACAACTCCTGTTTTTTGTTTTTGTTTTCCGAGACAGGGTTTCTTTGTGTAACAGCCCTAGCTGTCCTGGATCTCGCTCTGTAGACCAGGCTGGCCTCAAACTCACAGAGATCCGCCAGCCTCTGCCTCCCAAGTGCTGGGATTAAAGGTATATGCCACCACTGCCCGGCCCACGGCAACTCTTATAAAGAAAACATTTAATTGGGGTGGCTCGCTTACAGTTTCAGGGGTTCAGTCCATTATCATCATGATGGGGAGCATGGTGGTGTGCAGGCAGATGTGGTGCCAGAACTGAGAGTCCTACATCATGCAGGCAACAGGAAGTCGACTGACTGTCACACTGAGGGAAGCTTGAGCAAAAGAGGCCTCAAAGTCCACCCTCACAGTGACACACTTCCTCCAACAAGGCCACACCTAATAGTGCCACTCCCTTTGGGGGCCACTTTCTTTCAAACCAGCACAGTTGGTTTCCCCCTTCGGGGCCCAAGCTTCTTAAGGAGCTGAGACCACAGGTGTGCACCACCTGTACCGCTGTGTACCACCATGCACCACTCTACCCCGTTCAACAGGCCGCTTTTAGCCCGACAGCTCTCTTCAGCAGTGGTCACAGAGGGACTTAGTCACTAGTACTACTGCTGTCATGAAATGGTTAGTGGTGACAGCAGAAATCCAGGAGCAGGGTAAACTGTTGGTGCGGCTATTTAAGGCTTGGGGACCATCAAAGAGTGTGAGAATCGTGGTGTTAGAGCCGTATTGGATGTGTCCGATTTATAGTGAGGCAGCCTGGGCTTGACTAGTGAGCTGCTTGGCATTACAATCTCCATCCCGTTCCCATGTTCCTCTCACACAGTTTTCTTGATAAAGGAAGGGTGATTAAATTCCACTAGTGGTGAATATTTTAATTCTATGAAAAGGGTTCTCTCTCTCTCTCTCTCTCTCTCTCTCTCTCTCTCTCTCTCTTTTGGTTGTTGTTGTTTTTCGATTTTTCGAGACAGGGTTTCTCTTTGTAGCCCTGGGTGTCCTGGAACTCTCTCTGTAGACCAGGCTGGCCTCCAACTCAAAGAGAGCTGGAATTAAAGGTGTGCGCCACCACTGCCCAGTGGAAAAAGGTTCTTGAAAGGTTAGTAGGTGAATAAGGAGTTACTGAGCCTGTATTTGAAAACTCAGCACTAGTGTTTGGTTGATATCCTGGGATTCCTGCTCTTTTCTGGGGGAAGATTGGGGGTAGGAGGAACTGGGAGGCATAGAGGGAGGGGACGCTGCAGTCAGAATGTACTGTCTGAGAGAAGAATAAATAAAAATTGAAAAAGAAACTTTTACATTAAATTACGTTGCTGAGGAGAAAGTTTTAGTGAGGTGTGTTAGTTGTCTTAGTGGTTAAAATGCCTTAGAGAACAACTTACAGAATTATTTTGTTTAGTTTCACAGAGGTTAGTCCACTGTGGCTGGAAGGCTTGGAGAACAGAGCAGAGCAGAGCACTGTAGCGTGGAGACCAGAAGGCAGAGGGTATACACGTGGAAGTCAGGTCAAGATAGAGCTCTAAGGACATGTTCCCAGTGACCTGTTTCCTCCACTTCAAACCTACCCCATCTTTCCACACTCCCCCAAAAGTCGTCATGTTCTGGATCCATTAGGATCCATTTTCTAGATCAGAACCTCTTTATGTAATAGAATTGATCTCAGAGACACACACTTGGAGGTGGGCTTTACTAATCCTGTGGAGGTGTTGTATCTAGGTGTTGTTGTTGGTATTTGCTCATTTGGGGGCCTGCCACCCAGCTTCCAATCAAGTCACACACACAGGCTTATTCCTAATTATAAATGCTTGGCCTTAGCTTGGCTTGTTTCTTGCCAGCTTTTCTTAAATTAACCTGTCTGTCTTTTACCTCTGGGCTTTTACCTTTCTCTATTTCTTTTTCTTTTTTCTTTCTTTCTTTTTTTTTTTTTTTTAAGATTTATTCATTTATTATATATACAGTGTTCTGTCTGCATGTATGCCTGCAGGCCAGAAGAGGGCACCAGATCTCATTACAGGTGGTTGTGAGCCGCCATGTGGTTGCTGGGAATTTAACTCAGGACCTCTGGAAGAACAGCCAATGCTCTTAACTGCTGAGCCATCTCTCCAGCTCCACCTTTCTCTATTTCTGTATACCTTTCTTACTCCATTGCTGGTTGTGTAGCTGGGTGGCTGGCCTCTGATGTCCTCCTCCTCCTCTGGCTCTTCTCTTTCTCTTCTTATGTATTCTTTCTCTGCCTGCCAGCCCTGCCTATCCTTTCTCCTGCCTTGCTATTGGCTATTCACTCTTTATTAGACCATCAAATTAGATGTGTTAGACAGGCACAGTAACACAGCTTCACAGAGTTGAACATTACAACATAACCAAAAGTAATACACCTTAAAATAATATTCTACAACAGTAAGTGACAAGTGGAACCATTGCGGTAGATGATAGTATAAAGTGTAGAGCATTGCAGTAGATGGTAGTGTAAAGTATGAATTGTTGCGGTAGATGATAGTATAAAGTATAGATCATTGCAGTAGATGGTAGTGTAGAGTATGAAGTGTTGCGGTAGATGATAGTGTAAAGTATGAACCATTGCGGTAGATGATAGTATAAAGTATAGAGCATTGCAGTAGATGGTAGTGTAAAGTATGAAGCGTTGTGGTAGATGATAGTATAAAGTATAGAGCATTGCAGTAGATGGTAGTGTAAAGTATGAAGCGTTGCGGTAGATGATAGTATAAAGTATAGAGCATTGCAGTAGATGGTAGTGTAAAGTATGAAGTGTTGCGGTAGATGATAGTATAAAGTATAGAGCATTGCAGTAGATGATAGTGTAAAGTATGAAGTGTTGCGGTAGATGATAGTATAAAGTATAGAGCATTGCAGTAGATGGTAGTGTAAAGTATGAAGTGTTGCTGTAGATGGTAGTGTAAAGTATGAAGCGTTGCGGTAGATGATAGTATAAAGTATAGAGCATTGCAGTAGATGATAGTGTAAAGTATGAAGCGTTGCGGTAGATGATAATATAAAGTATAGAGCATTGCTGTAGATGACAGTGTAGAGTATGAAGTGTTGCGGTAGATGATAGTGTAGAGTATGAAGTGTTGCACTTCCTGGAATACCTTGCCTTTTAGAGTGATGAGTTACTGTGTAGGTTGAATCTGAATTAGAAAACCTGATTTTTAATAGAACCAAATACTGTGATTATATTTAGCTATGGATGTTTTGGAGTCACATACTGAGACATTCCTTTACATACATGTAGTTGTGTGACTTCCTTGGGGAGACTAAAACAAGTGCTTATTTACCCAAGATAGGGCATGAGTGATTGACCAGGGAAATGATCCCATCCCAGTCTAGCGTGGTGAGCCAGTGAGTTTCCAGGCATGTAGGTGAGCGGATACTCACAGGGGTAAAGGCAGCTGCATCACTCAGAAGCCCATGGGTGACACTGCCTCTAAAGAGCCCTATCCCTGGGCCTTCCTGCACATCTGCAGACTGCTGTCAGAAGAGCCTCTTGCCAGCAGCAGTCCGTTTCTGTCACTCCCAGGAGGGACCTTGTGCATCTGAGACTCTACTGCTCCCTGGGTCCTAGGACAAGCCTCAGGCCTCCTCCTATGGGAGTGGGGTTGATTCAGGGAAAGAGCTGCACAGCCCACCTTGTGTCCGCACGGCCCACCTTGTGTGTGTCCGCACGGCCCACCTTGTGTGTGTCCGCACGGCCCACCTTGTGTGTGTCCGCACGGCCCACCTCGTGTCCGCACCTTGTGTCCGCACAGCCCACCTCGTGTCCGCACGACCCACCTCGTGTCCGCACCTCGTGTCCGCACAGCCCACCTCGTGTCCACACGGCCCACCTTGTGTCAGCACCTTGTGTCCGCACGGCCCACCTCGTGTCCGCACGGTCCACCTTGTGTCCGCACCTCGTGTCCGCACGGCACATCTCCTGCACTGTCTCGCTTCCTTTGTTGAGAGGGAGAAAGGCTACTGTTAGCCTTTTCCTTGTTTCTGTCTGTGGAGAGACTTGGTGTTTAGCCAGAGATGGGACACTTTTGAGGCAGAGGCAGGGCCTGCTGAAGTTCAAGGCCAGTCTGGACTCCATGAGAGCTGCAGGCCTGCCGCGGCTACCTAGCAAGATCTGTGCCAGAACACAAACCAGAAACAAGATGAGCAGGGCCTTGCCGGTTTCTGTCAGCTGGGGCATGGGGATGGCGTGACGGGTAACGGTAGATTCCGGAGCTCATTAGGTCTCCTGTTTTCTTGTCCAAAGAAATGATTATGCTTTAGTTTTCTGGATCTAAAAATGACTATCAGAGTTTAAAAAGTAACCATTATGAATAGCATCTGGTTGACAGAACATGCCTCTTTAAAATTTTTCGGTTGTTTTTGACCAGGGAGATGAAGATTTGGTGCTTGAAAATTTGAGTCAGGTGTCTTTGGAAACAGCAAACAGAGAAGCAGCAAGAAGACGCAACTTGCCCAAGCTTTTAACTGAAATCTCACCACCTGCTCAGCAGCCCGCCAAGAAGGAGGTTCGTCCAGAGCACTCACTGAGTGTGGTCACTGCGTGGCTGGAGTGTGTTCTTTGGAGAGGCGGCTACTAGGGGAAGAGGAGGAGGATGGTGTCTTCTCACCTCCTTGCAGAGGGAAAGCTGTACCGATCCTTGGTCCTGTTTAATAACAAAAATCTGAACCACATTTAGTAGAGCTAGAAGATAAGTGATACTGAGTTGAGAGAATCATCTGGTTTTGTAGAGATGAGAAGGATAGTGTTCACGAAGGGAAGCATTCCTTTAGGTGTTTTAAGACTTTGCTGTGTGGGTCTTGTGAGTGGTCAGTAACTTTTACAGGTTGAATACCCTCACTTGAAATGCCTGGGATCAGAAGTATTTCAGATTTTAGAGTATTTTCATGTATGTATTGAGATACTGGGATAGTGCTCAAGTATAAGCGAGTTCATTTTCTACATGGCTTATTTACAGAAGTTTTAATCAGTGTCTCTAAGTAACTCGGCATAACGGCATTATGCCTCTGTCTCCCAGGTGCTGGGACGACAGCCTGTACTACAACCCCAGGCTTTTCCTGTTTCTCTACATTGTGCATCTTTACATAATATCCTTGAACATCTTAAAAGAAACCTTTTAGGGAAGCATGCTGGCGGTTGATTACAGGGTCTGGTGTATACTAGGCAAGCACTCGCCAGCTGCGCTGCCTTGCCCAGTGTGAACTCACTCTCCTCTTTTGTTCGGAAGAATTTACTGGGGCTGGAGAGATGGCTCAGTGGTTAAGAGCACTGGCTGCTCTTCCAGAGGTCCTGAGTTCAATTCCCAGCAACCACATGGTGGCTCACAACCATCTGTAATGAGATCTGGTGCCCTCTTCAGGCCTGCAGGTAGACATACATGCAGAACTCTCTATACATAATAAAGAAAATCTAAAAAACAAAGAAAAACCATTTATTTAGTGTATGTGAGTGTACATGGGAGTGTGAAGATCTGAGTGTACAGTCTATGAGAATCCATTTCCCCGGGGATTGAACCCAGGTTGTCAGCCAGTGTCTTAGTCAATGTTCTGTTGCTGTGAAGAGACACTGTGACCACGGCAACTCTTTTTTGGGGTTTTCAAGACAGGGTTTCTCTGTGCAGCCCTGGCTGTCCTGGAACTCACTCTGCAGACTAGGCAGCCTTGAACTCACTGAGATCTGACTGCCTCTGCCTCCCAAGCGCTGGGATTAAAGGCGTGTGCCCCCACACCCAGCTCTATTGTAAGCTTTTAAAAACTTTTATAAGAATTACAGTAGTAGCCAGGCGGTGGTGCTTGCAGAGCCAGGTGGATCTCTGTTTGATGGCCAGCCTGGTCTACAGAGTGAGTTCCAGGATAGGCTCAAAAGCTACACAGAGAAACCCTGTCTCGAAATACAAAAAGAAAATTGCAGTAGTAAGTTACCATGTGTGAGTATGTGTATGCATGTTCAGCAGTCAGAGATAACTTTGCAGGAGTTGGTTCTTTTTTCCCACCATGTGGGTCCTAGGAGTCAAACCCCAGTCAGGTTGGGCAGCAAACACCTTTCATTGAGCCACCAGACCAGGCCTCACTATAAATGTTCGATAGACGTCTATATAAGAAGCCTTCTCTTAAAACCTAGATGCATGTAACCTACTGAACGGGGCTCTTCCTGAGAGTGCCCACTTCTTGGAGATGTTTTTACTTTCCTTCCACTAATACTCATATTCCTTTAGGTTCCTGACTTACCTGAAGAACCCTCAGAAACAGCTGAAGAGGTACGTTTCTCTCATTCTCCATTTCCTTTGATGTCATAGGCAGGTAAGTCCCACCTACCCCTGGGTTTAGAGAGAAGAGCAGGTTCCTTGTGGCTGCCCTGGAGTCGTGTCTTCTGAGGATGGCATCCGAGGCTCGGCTGAGTGCCGCTTTGGGAGGCAGTCTGCTGAGCTGTCTTTTAAGCACCCACTGTTTTAGTGAGTGAGCTGCTTACTATGAACAAGCATTGAGACAGGCAGACGCCTTCACACCAGTCTCCCCTTGAGATGAAACTGCAGCTCTTGTGCGTTTAAAGAGTGGTTCACCGTGGCTGGGCTGGGACAGATACCCCACCTGCCTGGTCATGGCGGGAGCCTGTCTTGGCCTCTGCTGTTGGCCGTCTTAGCTATAGGTGATGGATGCAGGTGGACTGCCTGTCTTTAGAGCCATCAGGTTACTGGGGAAATGCCCAGAAAGGGAACTGCCAGTGTCCCACTTTGTGAAGTTCAGCATCCATTAGACTCCTCAGCCATACAGTTAAGAGAGACTCAGTTTTGTAACATTTAAGTTTGGTACTTTGTATATCTTAGGAAAATCTGAAAGTTATTCACAGGGAAAAGACGTTAAAGACAGCAATCCAGATACTGAATCCCCAGGAGGAAAATTACCTATTTTTTAATGTGTATGTGCTTGCATAAGTTTATGTGGCCCTCGTGTGCAGATGCCCATGGAGGCCAGAGACGTTCGTTGGATCCCCTAGAATGGAGTTGCAGGATGTTTTGAGTCCCTGATGTGCATGTTGGGAACTGAACCCAGGTTCTCTGCAAGAGCAGTGCATACTTTCCAGCCCCTTTAAAAATAATTTTCTTTTAGATTTATTTGATATGGATGAGTGTTTAATCAGCATGTATGTCTGTGCACCACATGGAGGTCAGAAGAGGGGATCATATCCCCAGGAACTGGAGTTACAGAGGTTGCCGGTGGCTATAGTGGTGCTGGGAATTGAACCTGGGTCCTCTGGAAGAGCAGCAGTGCACTTAACTACTGAACCATCTCTTCAGCCTACTTAAAAACAAAGCTTCCTGTAGTCTAGGATGACCTCCAGCTTCCTGTGTAGCTGCATAACATCTTGAGCTTCTGATGCCCCTCCTCCACCTTCACAGTACCGGCAACTGACTTGTGAACCACCCTTGTATATGTGGGGAAGGGTATTGAACCCAGGGCTTTGAACATGAGCTGAGCCACATCCCCAGGCCAGACTGGAGTTCCTGTCTGGACTTCTGTTCTTGAGATAGGGCCTTACTTTGTTGCTCAGGCTGACCTCAAATGTGCAATCTTCTTGACTCAGCTTCCCGTGTGGATTGCAGGTCTGGGTGACCACTGTGGCTTACCTGAGTATTTGTATTCCCCAGGTAGTTACTGTTGCCCTTCGATGCCCAAGTGGGCGTGTTTTGAGGAGGAGATTTTTCAAGTCTTGGAATTCACAGGTGAGGAAATCAGTGTTTTCAGAAATAGTTACTTATCAAATTTGTCAATAGTGTGTTCAAATGCAGTGGGATCTGTTACCACATAGACAATACGGATATTCTGCATTGCATAAGGTTTGATAAATTCTTTGAATTGTGATCTCTACATTTACATTTTGTTGTTTTTCCCATTAATTTTTTTTTTCTTTTTAGTGTTAAGGATAATGTAGCTAGTCTTTCTCTGTCCAGCCAGCCAGCTCCCAAATAAATGACAGATTAGTAATAAAAGCTCAGCTGATAGCTTAGGCTTGTTACTAACTAGCTCTTACAACTTAAATGAACCCATTTTATCAATCTACTTTTTGTCTCCTGGCTTTATTACCTTTACTCTGTGCTATCCATGCTGCTTCCTCTCTGGCAGCAACCCCCCCCTTCTTCTTTCCAGCGTCCTGTGTGCTTGAAAATCCTGCCTAGCTATTGGCTGTTGAGCTTTTTATTAAACCAATCAGAATGACACATCTTCACAGTGAACAAAAAGGTTCTTCCACCATAGGATAGCTCTAAGGCTTCAGGCAGGCGTTCTCTGACTGAGCTGTATTTTGTTGGTTGTTTAATTGCATTGTAGTTGGTGGGTAAAGTGGTGTTTTGAAGCCCAGGGGAGCCTATAACTCACTATGCATTTGAGGTTGGCCTAGAACTCAGTCTGTGTCAGCCTCCCAAAGCTCAGATTACAGGCACGAGCCACCACTCCTCGCTGCTTATTTTAAAAGGTCATATTTGGGGGCTGCAGGTATAACTTGAGTGTAACCCTTCTCCCCCAGGGGTTATGGCCATGACACCACCTGGCAGGATTGTGAGTTTGGAGCCAGTTAGTGAGACCCTGACTCAAAACCACCAACAGAAAGAGGTTTTGGGTTTTGTTTGTTTTTCAAGACAGGGTTTCTTTGTAGCCTTGGCTGTTCTGGAACTCACTTTATAGACCAGGCTGGCCTCGAACTCACAGAGATCCGCCTGCCTCTGCCTCCCAGGTGCTAGGAGGAGTGCGCCACCATGCCCGGCAGAAAGATGTAATGTTGGAAGTGTAAACTTAGTGGCAGAGTGGGTGCTCAGCATGTCCAAAAGACCTGGGTTCAATTCCCACACTTCTAAAAATGTCTTAATTAAAATCATGACATGCAGATTATCTAGATCAGCAGTGGATTCTTGGCTTGGTGACTAGCAATTCAAGGCATGGGTTATATTGATACTTAGATTCCCTTGGAACATTCTTTGTCATTTGTTTTTTGTTGTTGAGATACAAGATCTTGCTGTTGCCTGGGTTGGTCTCAAACCCAGTAACTTTTGGCTCCAGGAGTCCTCCAGCCTCAGCTCTTGAATAGCAGGGACTACAGCTGTATGGAAATTCATCCAGCTTATTTTCTTTCTGAAGCAAAACATGCTTTAATATTTCATGTTTTGAGGCAAATGTGTTTTCAAATGGATTTGAATTTTTTATTTTTACTTTTTTTTGAGACAGGGTTTCTCTGTGTAGTTTTGGCGCCTGTCCTGGAACTCACTCTGTAGACCAGGCTGGCCTCGAACTCAGAGATCCGCCTGCCTCTGCCTTGAAAGTGCTGGGATTAAAGGCATGCGCCACCACCGCCGCCGGGCATTGGATTTGAAAACTATCGTGATTAAATTTTTTTTGTGTGTGTGGTACTGGACTTTGAACCCAGTGTGTATATAGTAATCTTTATGAATAGTTACAGGAATGGCCCACAGTAAGTTGGGCTTTGTTTCAGGGGCCCAAATATATCAATTTCCACAAAGCTGCTTCGTGATTTTGATCCAGATTTTTGTTTCCAAATGTTTTCTGTTCCATTGACTATTTTCCATTCCCTATTCATGAATGGGGCTTTGTCACTACCATGCTAGTAGGCCTACACACCTTGTGTGTAACAGAGGCATTTGAGGTTATTCAGATCTCCAAGTTCATGACATACTGCTCTTCCTTAAAGTCTAGAAAATTTCTTTGGAAGATGTGGAAATTACTTTTCATTTCTTGGGACACAATTTCAGAGTGACAGAGCTGTACAATGCAACAGTGAGAAAGATTCTGGAAGAACCTTTTGCCTGATACTAAAGCCTTTTTTCTTCTAGGTCTTATTTGACTGGATGATGAAAATTGGGTACCACAAATCCCTGTACAGCCTTTCCACGTCCTTTCCCAGAAGGCCTCTGGAAGCAGAGGGAGGCTTGTCACTGGAGGACATAGGAATAACTGTGGACACTGTACTTAATGTGGAAGAGAAAGAACAGAGCAGCCAGTAAAGAAGTCACACTACCTGTTGTCCTGAAGTCGTTACTCGTGACGTCACACCAGTGTTCACATTAAAGCCATGCTGTACCTTGAGCTCCTCTTGTTCAGAGGAGCATACCTACATACATGGAAGAGGACTGCTTTGTATGTAGTGGTTTGTGGACTATGTCATCTTCCAATGTACCAAAGTGAGAGCAAGGTAAAAAAGGATATGTCAGACAGACATCTGGTACCAGGCTTCAGCCAGGCATGGTGGCACATGCCTCCTGGAATTTGAGTTAGACCATCTTAAAACCAACCAACCAACCAACCCCTAGCTTATGTAAGAACTGATTTCTGCTTCTTGAATCCACCTTACGACAGTATTTCAAAATTTTCAAGTATGAATGTTGATTCTACTGATTTTCAGAGCAGACTGATCCTATGTAATTTTGACTTAAATCCAGGGATGAAGTTTTTGACACATAAACTTCAGGGACATGTTGAAATTACAGTAAACAAGACCATTGTTGGTAGGTACATTTGGAGTGTGAGCTGTTGTTTTTGTATGCACTGATGCCCTTAGAGTCTGTCTTAATCTTTAATATTTGGAGACAGGGTCTCATGTAGCCCTGGGTGACCTTGAACTCTCCTGATCCTCCTAGCCCCCATCCCAAGTGCTGGGATTACAGGCCTAAGCTACTGCACCCAGTTTATAAAGTGGTAGGATTGAACCCGGGGTTTCATTATGCCTGGCAAACTCTACTAACTGAGCTACATCCCAGCCCCCATATTTCCTATCTTTCAGTTCCAAAACTACCCAAGTCTTTGCTTTTGGTGTCTTTTTTTTTTGTTTGTTTTGTTTTTCAAGACAGGGTTTCTCTGTGTAGCTTTGAGCCTTTCCTGGAACTCACTCTGTAGCCCAGGATGGCCTCAAACTCACCTGGCCCTGCCTCCCAGAGTGCTGGGATTAAAGGCGTGAGCCACCACCGCCCATTCTAGAGATGGTATTTATGACCTTGGAATAGTATCACTACTAAACTCAGATCAATTTATCCCTATTTCTAGGTCAGAGACAACCTATCTTGGCCTTTAAAGTTTCTTGTTATATTTAGTCTAGAGTTATTAAAGCAGACAATCCAAATTTTGTACTTAAAAATTATGAACACAAATCACCCAATGAAATGTTTAGAAACATAAAAAATGTCTTTTTAATGGTCTAAAAGTTATCAGCAAATATTTGACTTTGTTCTGCTTCTAAATGTAAACTATAAACAAGTGTGTGCGCGCGCACTTGCACACGCACACATAACCTGGAATTGAATCTAAGGCCTGGAGCACCCTACCAGAGTTAATCCCCAGCCCCTAAACTCACCATGTAAATTCTGTCAGTACACATCAGAGACTTGTGACTTGGCAAGGTGCCCCACACCTAGTCCTAGCACTTGGGAGGTAGAGGCAGGAGAACCAAGGAGTCAAGGTCATCTGGGACTATACCAGATCACCTCAAAAGCCAAAAGGAAATGAAAACGAACCAACTGCAGTCTTAGGTATTTGTATCAAGTTTTAAAATGGCAATGCTTCCATTAAATGCGTATCACAGTTAGAATATTCTTGTTTACGTTGCAAAGTTTATTTTTTCGATACACCAAACAGGATGCAAGCACTGTCAGGACAAATATACAGAAATATGCAGATCAACATCAAACACTAATTTAGATCAAATGAAAGGAAATCTCTTTAATGTTATGACAACATACTCCCAAGAATCTCTTCTTCAGTTAGTTATACATTTCAATAAAATAAAGGGTAATGAATTAGTGGAAGTCAGCTGTGAAATCGTAAAAATAAAACTCCGACTCTATTAATCCATGCCAGTTAAACACTGTAACTAAATTTCCAAGCACAGAGGAGATGAAGCAGTCAGTGACCCCTTTTGCTTAACCAGCCAAGAAGAATGGTTCCTACAACACAGCAGGCAGACTGATCTAGAACACAGTGTAATAAGTTCAGTCTCATTGTGCTAAATGCTCATCATTAGTATGGCACGTTTGGTCCATGATGTAGTTTATAATGTCAAGACATCACAATTTGTTACAGAAACACATAGATAACTGTTGTTTTTAAATATATATATATATATTTTAAAAAGCCAGGTATACTTCCACATACAAAGAAAGGTCCTGGGGAGGAAGTTATAGGAAGTAGTCTGGGGTACGCCGGGTCACATGAGGCTCTCCACGACGAGGTGCTGGGTCAAACTGAAGACTAAATGACAGAGAAAATGAGTCAGCAAATGAGCCAGGAAGACCCTGAATAGACAAAGCCCCCCTTTTTGTCTCCTCCTGCTACTACTGCCTTCCACGTGACTGGAATGACCCTGAGCACCTCACTACAGGTGATCAATCGCTTCACAGCACAGAGCTATGGGGAAAATTTAGACAACACTGCTGTTAGTGCCTGGCGGAAAAGACTCGTGACACTATTATCATCTGAAGGGCCTTAGGATCAGTGCTGATCCTCTCCATCACGATGTTAAATCAGGGTGAGTGTACCTGTCTTCAGGCACAGTAAGCTTCCTCTGTGAAGAGTTTGCTGACTTTATTTAAAGAACATTGAATTTTATCAAGTGCTTTTCCTGTCTGTTAAAACCACCAGTTATTGACTTTTTCTGGTTCATTTTCGTATTCTGAACCAACTCTGTGGTCTTGAGATCAATCCCACTTGTATTTTCCTTCTCCAAGCAGTCCTGAAGGATGTAACCATAGGCAGACACACAGACTTCATAACTGTCAGGGGAAGTATTTTACTTTCAATTTTTGTTGCTGTTGAGACAAGGTTTCATGAAGCCTAGAGTAGCCCCAAACTCACAGTAAGGCCCACTCTGAACTCCTGATCTCCCTGCCTCTACCTCGTAAGTGCTAGGGTCTTAGGCAAGCATGTGTTAGCGTACACAGCAAATGTTTTATTTATTTACATTTTGTTTTTGGTTTTTTGAAATAAGGTGTCCTGTATCCCAGATTGGCCTTGAGCCCTGAATACTGGTGTTACAGATCTGCATCACATGGCCAGTTTACATAGTGCTGGGCTTGAACCCAGGGCTTCATGTATGCTAGGTAAATAGGGGCCTACGGGACCCATCCTCCAGTAGTACATGTTTTATTACTTTAAACTTTTAAAGGTAAGTTTTAATTTTGTGCTATGAGTGCCAGTGCTCAAAGAGGGATCTCTCAGAACGGGAATTACAGATGGTTGTGAGCTGCCATGGAGATGCTGGGAATTAAACTTGCATCTTCTCAAGGGCAGCCTGTCCTCTTAACCACCAAACCATCTCTCCCGTCCCCTGGGGTAGTTTCTGTAAGAGTAATGTGGGGGTAAGGAGAGGAATGCAAGTCTCTAATAGTTATAATGGACAGGTTTCTCTGGGTTCTTGTTAATTTGTTTGTTTTTCTGAGGGTATTTGTATGTAGTCCTGGCTGTCCTGGAATTCACTCCCTAGACCAGACTGGTCTAAAACTCTGCCTCCTGAGTGCTAGGATCAAATATGTGCACTACCACACCTGGCTTAAGATCTCTTAAGGTTAAATGTTTTCCCATTACCTGTAAGCTCTTGGGAAAATGTCAATAAAGTGTAAATCATATTTTTCTGGGCTAGGCACAGCAATGAACTGGCATGTATGAGGCCGTGGTTGCATGTACAGCACATCAAAAGAAAACAATTCTCAAGTTAAATGTTTGGGAAGAGGGTTTACACATTCCATGTTCTATCATCTCAAACAGAACTCTTTAGTGTTTTTCATTCTAAAAAGATTTTTATTCATGTGAGCATATGTGTATATGATTCAGTGTATGTGCACACATGTACACGTATCTATAGAGAAGAGGGTGCTGGATCCCTTGGAGCTGGAGTTAGAGGTATTTGTGGGTTCTGACCTCCAGTTCTCATGACTGTAGCAAGTGCTCTGAGCTGCTGAGCCATCTCTCCAGCCCCAACTCCTCTGTTTTTCAATCGTTACTTTTCCCTCTAAAAGTGACTACATACAATGAAAATGTAATGTTACTTACAAAGAATATTTTAAAGTGTCATCTAATTCCATGATAGCAGCCTGGTTTCCACAGCGGTAGCAGTAATTGGGTGCACTAAAAATGGTCACCACATTCCGATCATGGCACCAATTATAACCCTGCAACAGTAAGGAGGTCATTGTTTCATTACCAAGTTCAATCTTGACTCAGAGCTCAGATCCTAAGTACTTCTGTGGCTATGTAGTCAAGTTACCTCTATGATCTAACAGTTTATGCACCTGCTCAGATACTGTACAACTCTTAGGTCCAAGATTCCTGTTCTACTTCTCAGTAACCATGGAGCTTTTCTTAACCTATACTTAGGATCCTGGCTTAGGGCTACACTGAACTTCTCAGACAAAGATGGTAATCTCCCCATTTTCCCTCATAAACTCTGCCATTTATCTATCTCTCTATTTATTTATTTATTTATTTATTTATTTGGGTGTGTGTGCGCGCATGCATTTTTTGGTTTTCTTTTGTTCTTTTTTGAGAAAGAATCTTGCTATTTAGGTCACAGTGGTCTCAAATTTACAATTGCCCTAGCCTCCCAAGTGCTGAGACAGGACAGAAAGTACTTGGCTTCCAAAGTTTGCTATATCAATCTTGAAGGTAGTATTAGGCAAACCACACTTGAGTAAGCTCTCCTGGAGAGCTGAGCCAATGCTTATCAGTAATGACTTCGATAATCTCTAAGGGTCACCTGCACCAGAGCCTCTTACTTCACAGGCTATGTTTGGTAATTATCTATTTGGTTCACAACATACCATTTCCATCCTTTATTTTGTGATGTTAAGTATGTTTTAGTTTTGTCTCAAATAATAACTGAAATTTGATTATCTTCTAATTTGGGAGCCTCTGACTTTTAGGAAAGCAAAAGTCTTAGTCATTACATTAAAAAAATATATCCAGTCACCATTGACATTTATGATTATATAATTATAATGAGGTTAAATGTCACTCCATGGACGTGTTCTTATTCACGCTCCTACACCACTCCTTGCCTGTTCTGGGCTGGTGAAGTTTGTTTCCACCCTCTTAAAGACATTCCTTGCTGATTTAGAAGGACTGTGTTCTCTTTTATCCCGTTAGTAGTTACAATACAACAGGAGCTGCTTGCAACTAAGTGACCAGTCACTATAACCAGCAGTGGGACAGACTTCAAACCTCCTGGATACAAAGCACTAAGGACACATCACTCTACAGTCTGCATCTCAAGCATGCATGAGATAACTCCATAATCATAAGGAACATTAGTTAAGTCTCTACTGAGGAGTCTCTGGAAGAGCAGATTGTGCCCTTAACTGCTGAACCATCAGCCCCTACCAAGGGGCCTTTATTTAAGAGTGTCTCCTTATATATCCTAGGCTGGCCTGAAACTCATGACCCCCTGCTTTGGCCTCCTGAATATTGGGAGTACAAGCACCCAACATGCCCAGATTTAGAAAGCTATTTCTTTCTTCTTCTTCTTTTTTTTTTTTTTTTGGTTTTTCAAGACAGGGTTTCTCTGTGTAGCTTTGAGCCTTTCCTGGAACTCACTCTGTAGCCCAGGCTGGCCTCAAACTCACAGAGATCCACCTGGCTCTGCCTCCCGAGTGCTGGGATTAAAGGCGTGTGCCACCACCGCCCGGCTAGAAAGCTGTTTCTTAGAAAACAAAACTTTGGTCATTTCAAAACATCAAGAGCACATAAAATGTGAACAATACTTATAATCTGGACTGTTATACACACTGCAAAAATTAAACTTTGTTACAAAAATCGGACTCAAGTATTTAGGTAGGAGTATACCAATGGAAACGTTCTGACTGAAATACTGATTACAAAAGATAATGGCTTTAGCAAAATGTACCTGGAGCTTTGGGGGTAAGGAGCATTTGTCAGGGCTATTCAAACAGAGAGAAGAGAGTAAAGTGTGGGGGGGAGAGGAGAAAGAAGGAGAGCAGATACATATGCTTAAGATACTTACACTTTAGGAATTTGAGCAAAGAATATAAAAAAACTGTGGTACTATTTTCCCAACTTTTACGTCTCAATTTAAAAACTGAATGATAATTTTGCTCTGGGGAGGTAGCAGCTTTCTTACTTCCAAAGGTAAATTCAGATTCCTCCTTCATTTGGTAATGAGGATATATTTCCTACATCCCCAGTCATGAAGCCTTATTATAGATGCACGCACCATGAGATTAAAGGTAATTCTGAAGGAAAAGTACATACTTCCATTACAAGCTGGTGAGCGCGAGACACCAGTGTGAGACCGTTGGCATGGTTAAATGTTTCAGAAATATCTTGTCCAAAGGTGTAGCCAGCACCACGTGGTGAAATACCCCATCCGCCACGGTCATCTGGATCTGACCATAAGAGATCACACATTGGGCCCTGGTCAGGGAGAACAGATATGCATTATGAATTATTAGCAGTTATGCTTAGCCTTACCACTTGTGATTATATTTTTTTGTTAAAACAAAACCGCCAAATTTACCTCATGTGGAACTTCTTGTAAACGATCCAGGGCTCTTATATGATCCAGTGTATCTATGGATGGAGAGAGGCCACCATGGAGGCAGAATATCTGTTTATAAATTGAGAAGAAAAAATATATGTATTTTTATAGTTGCTAAATTAATGAAGAGTAAGTAGTGGTTGTAAATGTTAGCCCTGACAGCTCCCCTCCCCCCACCCTGCTCCTGCTGCCCAAAAAATAGTATAACCTGAAAAACTTGTTAACTGCAGTGCAGAGCAGAGTCAGACCACCACCAGCAGCAGCCTCTACAGTACCGGGGTGCAGGGGCTTCCTTTGCTTCCCTTGTGGTCCTGGGGGTGCGGGGGCCTTCTGCATGCTCTACCACTGAGCGGTGCAGCCGCCTCGCCCTCGCCCCACAGGCGTTCTAGTCAGTGCTGTTGATAAATAGGATCTTCACCCTCCTCATCAGTCACTGTTTTCTGCCGAGTACTCCTGATGTATAAAACTGTGTTTCTGTCAAACATCAACATCCTATGATTCCTGTCACTGATTACAATAGGTTTTTGGTTTTCCTGAGATTTACTGAGTACATTACCACACTGGCAGGTTATTTTCTATACAGTCTGCCATCTTCAATTACTTTTGATGTGTGTGTGTGATGTGTGTAGGGACACATAGAGGGGAAGGGACAACTTTTGGGAGTTTGCTCTCTCCTTACGCTGTACTCACTGAGTCATTTCTC